CCCACTCATTGGCGACGTGAGGCCCGCGTGCCGCTGGGGTTAGCAAGCGGGGCTGCAGCGCCGCCCGTTCAAAAGTTTGAAACGACAGCTGGGCATCCAGTCGGGGCGGTGCACGCGGCCGCCCCGCCCCCGCCTCCGCCTCCGGCTGCGCCCTCGCACCGCACCCCCGCCAAGCCCGCCGCGAGTCGGGTCGGCACCGTGTGCATAGTTGCGCGCCTTGGCCACACCGCAACCACAGCTCCTCTACCTTCCGCCGTCTGTCCGCGCGCAGGCCGTTGCCATAACGCATGTGATCTGGGACGACGCGGGCCTCAAGCCGCCCGGCACGCAGCCGCAAAAGCCGATGCCGGCGCCAGCGCCATAGCGAAGCAGGCGCCGCCGGGGGTGGAGCCCGAGCCGCCGCGGAGCCGGTCACGTCGTTTCGACTGTGCGCCCTGAAATGAGTTTCAATCCCGCTGGCAAGTGCGGCGGGGCCCGGCTTTGCTGTACGTAGGGCCCCGCCGATTGGCAAACCGCACACGATCGACTCCTACGTCTGCAACACACCGCCCCAAACTTTACCTCGATGCGATGGTATCTCACCCCTGCAATGCGCCCCAAATGGGCCTAGATGCATGCTGGGGCCGCTGCACACCACCGTTCGCGCTGGTGATGGATCGTCCCTCTCTCGGCTGGTCTTCGCTTTGCCCCTTCAAAGGAACAGACCAACCGCCGGGTGTTCTGCCCCTGCAGGCAGAAATTTATCTTTTTTGGGCTGCGGCTGCACTGGATGCCACGCCCCTCACGACTGTTCGTCCGCCCCCTTGTTGCCGCCACAAGCGCCGTGCCCGCTTTGTACCAAGCACTGTACCTGTGCCTGAAAGTGCATGCTTTCTCACTTTTACCTGCCTGCAAGCAAATGGAAAGCCGCACCCCACGCCCCGTTATGGCCCGGGGCCCCGCCGCAGCTCTGCACGCCACCAAGCTCGTGCCGGTTGCGAAAACCCGACCGCCTTTCAAGCCCCCCTTCCCACGCCGCGGCCGAACGTGCTACATGCCGGTGGCTTCGTCCGGCGCGGCACATAATGCCAAGGATGGCTCTACCTGCACACCCTGCAGGATTCGAAACATCGACTCTTCCTCTTCCTCGTGCCAATGGGCAGCTGCCACCTTGCGCGCCACGGTGACGCTTCCATGGTTGGCCCCATCTCACGCTGCAATCTTGTTGTCCAGCAAAGGGCATGCGCGAGGTGCCCTCACCGCGGCCCAAGTTTGGCCGGTCGGCTGCGTTTGGGCGCAGGCGTGCCCTCAGGCATTGCGCTCCCACTCTGTAAACCCTTGGATTGGCGGCGCCTCGACGCCCCGCCGCATCCTGCGCGCGAGCGCAACACGACATGATGCATGTTTCATCCAATACTGCGCTGATGGCCTTTCTTCCTGTAATTCGTGCTGCTGATCCTAATTGAGTCCTGTGTTCTGAGAAACGTGAGATGGTCGTAGGCAGGGACGGCGCCGCGGGATGGCAGGCTCGGCGGCAGTTGACGGTCTGATCCTGCATCAAAGCATACTGTCAAACTTGCGCGCCCCATTGTAAGCCCAATCGACCTGGCCTGGATGGCTTTGCGCAATGGCATGCTTCATATACTACCATGATGCATAGTGGCCTGACCTTGTGGGCCTGCCTCGTTTGCACACTCACACTGACACCTGAACCCGCCAGTGCACACGCGGTGTCCACCAGGTTGCTTTCCCCCCGGATGACATATCCACGTTGCCTTCTGCAATTTGACATACTATGCTTCAGGAGAAGCAGCAACGCTTCAGGGTTGCTTGAGGAATGGCAATTTGGTCTATCTCCTTTGGGCAACGTGTGTCGTCACCCGGTTACACAGTGCATAACAGCATGGGATGGCGCCGTTACCGTAGTGGGGTTGACGGTCATGCACGAGAGGGAAAGTACCACGAAATATATTGAGTGACCCCCGCCGAACGAACACGTGCTGGTGCTGAAACATCCCAAGAGTTGCCTAGGCCAACAACCCAGCTCTTGAGCTCTTTTGTGTCTTGGCGACTCTCAAGCTCCAGGCCAGCCTTCACCAACAAGCCTATTCATAATTACTGTGTATACACATTTGTCATACGACGGCCATCCAGGCACTCCCAACAGACGCAAAAATGAGGGCCAGCGCCGCGCTAGTGCTGTGTGCACTGAGTGAGTCCAATTGCACCGCAAGTAGTATATAATTATTGCGCGCCTCCGATGGACCCATATAACCCGGTCACCGGGTGCACTTGGTGCTGGGGGCCGACGACCGCTCCAAATCTGCTAGTCTTGTCGACGGTCCCAACGCATCTGAACATTGAATTGAGGAAAGCTAACACCGATGTTTTAGGCCAACTACAAGGCCGTGCTGGTTGCGCTGGCGTGCTATCACCCCTGCGGTGCTGCTGCAGCAGCAGTGCGCAGTCCAACTCTCGCTCGACCCCACACCCCGTCCGCCACCTGCCACGACTGCTGTCACTTCACAGCTGTGGTCGTGCGTGCACAAGCGCTGGCAGATCCCACAACAGGCCTGCCGCCAGGCGTCGTGCCCATCCCAAGCGACACACCACCGGCAGCCCCAGCCGCGGCAGCTGCCCGGGCCGCGCCTGCAGCGTACCCAGCCGCCGCCCCTGGCACCTACCCGGCTGCTGGGTACCCCGCTGCTCCTGGCTACCCTGCTGGGGGCGGCGTCGCCCCTGGCTACCCGATGATGGCCGCCCCTGGCTACCCCGCTGCGCCCGCTCCCGCCGCTGCCATGCTGCCGGCTGCCCCTGGCGCCCCAAGGCCTGGTGAGCTTTTCTCCCTCCAGATGGTGGATAGGGAATCCTGCAATGGCTGGATCTATCCCAAACATCCAATGCTGTGATTACAGGCCAGCGCACCCGCCACTGATCGACCTCGCCCAACCCACGGCCTCCACTCCGCCCTGCTGCCCTGCCCCTAGCAGGCCCTGCTGCCCCCGCTGCTGCCGCCCCAGGCGCGTACCCCGCGGCTCCCGCCTCGGTGTTTGCAGCCCCGCCTGGTGAGTGGCATGGGCGAGCCCCGTGCTGCGGCCAATTCTGCATCACCCGGGGGTGAAAAGCAGTGGTGAAGGGCGTGGTGCGTGGGCAAGTCACCGCGCCCGTTTGAAACGCATATTCACCAGGACAAACGCAGCCGCACCAGCAAAACCCTCACCCTAGCTTGCGCTCATGCCCGTTTGCCTAAGCAGGTGTCGCTGCCCCTGGTCTCGCTCTTCCGGGAGGTGAGGGACGCAAAACTTTGCAGGCTGCAGTGGGAGATAACCAATGGTCGATGAGGGCAGTCGCTCGGCACGGCCGCGCCGGCGCCAGCGCCGCACCCAGGCCGCCGCCGAGCAACCGGTCAGCGCGTTACCCAGAGCCCCGACCCCTCTGGCCCCCCTCGCTCTCTTCCCACTACAGCCGTCCCTGCTGGTGCCTTCACCACAGGCGTCGCCCCTGCCGCCCCGGGGCTGGCGGGGCCAGCTATGCCTGGGATGGCCGCACCCCCGGGTATGCCGGCTGTGAAAACACACCCCTTGCGTGCCGCCGCGGTGATAAAGTTGCTGCGCCATGCCGCCTTGTGCAGCAAAGCAGCAGGCTCGCTTGAGGGAACGGGGGAGGATCGCATTAATTGCAGTCAATCGCATGAAATTGGGGCTCATGGCATGTGCTCATCAGGGCGATTGTGCTCATACAAAGTCCTGCGTGGATCTCAACCCAACAGGGATGGTGCCCATCGGCCCCCCTGCGGCCATGCCGTTTGACGGGACCATCACCGGCGGCCAGGTGCGGGAGCGCTCTGCAGCAGCCTGCGCCAGACGCGCAGCTGAAGTGGGGCGGCGAGGAAATCAAAAGTGACAGCATGACACTTGGAAGTGATGGCGAGCAAGTTGAGCGTGAAGCGCGCCGCGGCAGTCTCGGAGCTTGTACCATTGGTTTAGTGAGCCGGCATGATCTCAACGGCAGCTGCTGACCTGCTGCCTTGCACCCTCATGCGTGCGCATCTCCCCGCCTCCGCCTAGGGCCCCCCGCTGCAGCAGCCTCCCAGCATGTCGTCGGGCCCCGACGCCGCCTCCATGAACGACGGCGGCCTCAGCAGCGGCGGCGCCGGCACCGGCCTCGGCGGCCTCGCGGGGGGCCCCTCCGGTCTCAGCGGTGGCGGCGGGG